GAAAGTACGGAATAAAACGGACAGCTTAGATGCAACTAGATGAATCGGACTTCGCAAATGACATACCCCTTCTATCCCACACACATCAACAAATGCAGGTCAAGACAAACAGTGTAGTGTCAGTCTCTGCATCAGTAGACAACTACATACACAAGGGAAAAAGCAGCATCCTCAAATACAACACGAAGAACATCAACCCAATAATCACATTTGATAGAGGAACTCTGAAAGAGGTGTAAACTTTAGCGTATCTGGGTAGCATCATAGATGAACAAGGACGATCTGATGCAGACGTAAAGTCGAGGATTTGCAAAGTAAGGACCGCATTCCTACAATTGCAGAACATATGAAACTGAAAGCAACTGTCAACTAACATCAAAGTCAGAAACTTCAATAAGAACATCAAAACAGCCTTACTGTGTGGAGCTGAAACTTGGAGAACTATCACAACCATCATCAAAAAGTACAAGTATTTATAAACAATTATCTACGAAAGACACTCAATGTCTGTTGGACGGATACCATCAGCAACAACCTACTGTGGGAGGAAACAAACCAGCTTCCAGCTGAAGAGGAAATTAGGAAAAGACGTTGGAGGTGGATAGATATAATTTGTGAAGATCACCAAAGACAAATATAGTTTAGATGATAAAGTCAACAAATTTAACCACTATTATACCAAAATGGTATAATAACTAAACTATTACGTAATTGTAAGTCACGAAAGCGTTCAAAACAAAATTACTTCAGTCTAATAATAAAAGCAATACTTTATAGACGAATATTTTTGAATTTTATCAGTGATATAATCAAGCAACTCGAATTCGATAAGGCTACGAACTTCTGATAACTTCGGATTACCTAAAACAATAATACCTATTTTCCAATGTTTAGTACTCAATCAACACTATAACTGGTTAAACATAATGGTATGAGGATATCATCATAAAGCATTTTCATGACTTGACGATCACGTAATATGATTGATAAAATTGATGAAATTATTGAAAAAATCGGTCAACGAATTGGTTTGTAATCATTAAATAGTGTTTCTTCCTTGTTATCCTCATCCATTGCAGATTATTTCAGTTTACTTGTCTATCAGTTGCTCATTAAGCAAATATCTTAAGACCTTGTCATTCTAACTAGAGGTTTGGCGACACAGTCGTGTATGTAACTCATCAGTATAAGCAGTGGAGCAAATCTCTTGCAAACTGAAAACACTGCCGAAATTACACCAACGTTGACTAAGGTCCAGGCCATTAACATAGACATGAGTTGGGAGTGTACTCTCTTCGGTTACAACATATGTTCTCTCTGATAATCACATGAGCATAACTCACCGTTTATCATCTTGTAAAGATTCATTTAGCCGGAAGCGTCGTGCAACACCACGACACCTATTTTCCGGGCAAACAGGCTTTTTGATTTCAACAATTCGTAATCACAATATTTGTGACTAACTTATGCGAAACTCGATACCTGTAACTAATTTGTTTGCACCATCAGCCGGTAGATATGATCGAAATAAAATTGAAGTTAGAGAATATCCCTCACGAATACACTCATGTTAACGAATTTCTTTTAGCTATCTTTCCAAACTGTACACAATTATCACTATTTTCACGTAAACAAATTTTCGATAACCATTCATATGTATTAGTAGTATTACTAAATTCTGTCACGTTTAACTGATAATGAGGCCAAGAAGACCTCCCAGTAACTAAATAAACCATGTCAATAACTGGAACACTAGTTGAAATCCTTTTCCACGGTTAAACTTTTGTTCTTTTAGTTAATAATGCAGATAGAATTGGAGGTCAATCCATACGGACAGTATACCGCCTTAAACGTCAACTGACTTCGTAGTTTAAACTGGAACTAATACCAATATCAAAATTTGACGAGACTAAGTTATGGAAGACCTTGAACGAATCTTAAGTGACCTTGAGAAATATTGGTCACTCGACACACAGCATTGAGTAAAGATATGTTATACAACACCAAGGAAATAAAGTGGATACAATTCTCACAAGTGATTCAAAAACTTGTCAAGGTTAGAAAGAGATTCAGAGGTTTTAAAATCCTAATGCATGCAGTAGAGGAAATCATTCAAACGGCTACAGAATAGTCGGCCTCCGGAGCCACCATAAAGTCTCAAAAACTCTTTCAGTCTTGACCACATAGCTTCAATATCGTTTATGTGCACTCCGGTTGTTGAGTGCACAAAATGCTACTTGTGCATAACGACACGATGCACATAACCAAGTCTATGTGGGGGTCTGTACGCTCTCCAAACATCCGTATATATTGTAGTACCTGGCTGCAGCCAGTGTTACTAGTGCTTTTATTATCCAGTTCGCAATAAATGTCGAATTTGCCTTAGTTAAATTTTCATCACGAACTGACATCAGCTATAATGTCAGAAATTTATTTAGCCAAATGCATGAAAGGCTTTCGCATTAAAATCCGAGATCTATTATCTTATACCTGATTGATTCGTCCACAAATTATAGTCTCGCCGTTTTATTTGTTATAGCCGCTCAATTATCACGTTTTGTACAAAATTCCCTGTGAACTGATCGTACGTTAGCATTAGGTACTGAAGTCGGCGCCGTAACCTTGAAATCTCCAAAACGCTTCTGATTGTCTCGTCCATAAATTAGTTTCGCCCAAAATTTCTACAATACTGATTGTTGTCCTGTAGTGGGATTGAACAATAACCGCACAACCCACAAAGCTAAACACGAGACTACTAAAAAAATAGATATTCAATATTTAACGCGGATAAATACCTATTGATGGAGAAGGCGCGAGAATAAATTGAATGGACTGGGTTTGATCGGATGGCATGGCTCGGCCATTCAGGCGTGGTCCATCTGAATGTTACCTTATATCTTCTATTCATATTAAATATGTTGTTCCTTCTCTAGCCTAACCTTGTTCTACATCATGTATTGGTAATTGATACGATACAGTGAGTTGGCGTAGTCGATGGTGTGACTTCCACGTAAGATCTTATAGATTAGGTAGTTATATCATGACAAATCTACAAATTTAGGATTAGGTCTATTATTAGAGCAGCACTAATATCATAGTAGACCATAATTCTACATTGGTAAGCCCAACTAAAGAAACGCAACCTATTATTGTTAATCTTATTTCCATTCTAAATTTCTTGATCTGTTTTGTATTTATGTTAACCCAATATTCTAACGGTCCTGATTAATGCTCGCATGTATTATCGTAATGATATATTGATTAGTTCTCATGACATACGAGCTCAATCGATAATAAAAACTGGTCGTCTATATTAACTAATTAGCTTTGATGGTTCGTTAACAAGCCTTAATAGCATTTAGATGCTTCAGCGACATAGACTTGTTTAAGCATCAAGCTCTAGCAAATATGACCTGTAAATAACGCAAATATACATTGACTAACAATGCAGCAAGGATTAAATAGTTACCTGGATCTAATATTCAATGTTCCCTATCATATCACCTCATTCTGTTTTTAAACTATGCACTATCCTGTAGTATCTTTTCTTCCGACCACTGCCTGCCTAGTTTTAAATTCTCGAGTTCCGTTGCCAAACAACATGGACGACACTTCTCTAAAAACATACGGTGGGTTACAGCCATAAGTTCCCTGCAATCATAAGGTCATTTTAGGTGGCCCATTCAGTGGCACACACAATTATCTGGATTCATTCAGTTGTTCTGATCAGAGCAAGTCCCAAAAACCTCAACAGGATCAAGCACCCTGGAAGTGATTGCCACACTGCATGTTTTATTCTGGATACTTTTGGATCATAGTAGACCATAATTCTACAGTCCTATTTCTTTTCATAAATTACACTGCCTACAACTTGAATCACAACCGAATGTCATCATTAAGCATTTTAATATGACTTGTTAAAATATCTCTCTACTAAATCGTTCTTCGATGTAAGGCCTTATGAAATGAACAGTTACATGACAAGTCTACAGTTTTAAGACTACGCGTATGATTAGTGTAGTACTCATAACGAAGTGGACAATAATTCTACACGGTCTAAGAACTATTCAGTAGCTCATGTTATAAATACCCCCAATTTTCTGAACATAAACTATGGAGTAAAGGGTTTTTTATGTTTCGCCCCTTTTATCTCGTGTTCAAGTTGTCGTGTAGATTTAGCCTGGGCTTATTAGAAGAACCTAGAAAACCTTATCAAGCATTCAGTCAGAGGATCTGTCAGATCCACGAAATATGGTCAGTGGACATCAACTTACAAGGGTATATGCATCACGGAGGTGAACTTACAATCAGGTAAACCACTTTAAACACAGCTAACCATCCCCAAAAATGCATGTCTAGGCTCAGTATCAACACAAATCTTAGAGGCCGCACTCAAGAATTGTAGATGCAGCGTACCGGATCGTAGGCACACCTTATACTCTCTACGAGTGGGCAGATCCTGGAATTTGTTGCCGGCTGAAGTGGTCTAAGCTACTTCACTGGAGTTTTTTATTAGGGACCTTAACGTATTCTTAAGGACTTAGGGAAATATTGAAGATAATTTACCAAATTTTTCACTGGCTAATTCACCCAGATTTCTTTCTTGAGGTTTCGGTAATACACCACTACCAATTAGGGGAGCTTGTTATACGAAGGTTGCTTCTGTTCCACCCATCACCATTTGAACATGGGCAGTGCCGGGACATGGATATGTTTGATCAAGCTCCCTTGTCTAGAAGTGTCCATTAGAAGTAGAAAATCAGCACCAATCTCGAGAGTTTACAAAGGCGTCTACTTTGAAGAGCTATATACGGTCATGACTCCAAAAACGATTCCCAATATGTATGACGTCGCCTAATTCTTTCATATCATTTACAATTGAATAAATTATGGAAAAACATAATGTACGTGCAATTCAAAAAACTATGTTTCGTGTCTAGAGATTTCTGAGTATTTGTTTTGTCACCGCGTTAGCGCAAAGAAAATTCCGCGGGTCACTTGACGTTTTGGGAATAATGTCGGGCAATGTTGGGATGGAACAGCTTATCCCGTTGGTTAACCGGCTGCAAGATGCATTTTCCTCATTAGGAGTCCCACTTAATTTGGATCTGCCACAGATTGCTGTAGTTGGGAGCCAAAGTGCAGGAAAAAGCAGTGTTTTGGAAAATTTCGTCGGTCGGTAGGGCTGTTGTGTTACCTATTTTATTGTCTCAATTAGAGACTTTCTCCCTCGTGGAAGTGGAATTGTCACACGCCGACCTTTGGTCTTGCAACTAATCAATTCTCGCAACGGTAAGCTAAGGTTGTAGTTTGATCTCATTTTTATTAGAATATGCCGAATTCCTACACTGCAAAAACAAGCAGTTTACAGACTTTGATGAGGTTCGCAAGGAAATAGAAGCAGAGACAGACAGGCTAACTGGAAGTAACAAGGGAATCTCCAACACTCCTATTAATCTTCGTGTTTACTCTCCCAATGGTAAGCCTGAATCTAAAATTTTATGAATTCCAGTATTTTTTTTGTGATAATCATGTTGATAACGGTTTTTTAAGCTCTTTTGATTACAACGCACTTGATCTATTCCAGATGAACTCCCTAACACTACTCATTTCAACAACATTCAAAACTCAAAACAGTACGTTACATTACAAAGTGTTTATGAATTTAAGGAAGAACAAATGTGGTTTTGAGGAATTGTTTGGAATGGTGGTAAGGTGCCTAGATTAGGTACTTGTTAGTACGCAATGAAAAATGACCATCTAACAGACATTTAACAGGTTTAAATACCGAATACCTATTTCCAAAACAAATATTATTTAGGATGTTTGAACAGTAGTTGTTGATTTTGCTGTCCAAATAAGTTCCGTAGTCTCCTCACTACCGGTTCTATACCAGGTGAATTCGTCATTCGAATGGTTTCATAATTGGATGACAAAGTCACCATTATGTGCAGTGTCTTATTTTGTGTTGGGGTTTGAGAGCGTATCGGTTTAGAAAACTATTGATTTAAAAGTTGATGTACAAAAGTATGTTTCACATGTAATGTGAGTCAGTCAGTCCGTCAGTAACAACGCAGAACTTCGTACGTACGTACATCAGTTCGAGTTGCCACACCACATTAGCACAGAGATGCAGTTGTCGTAATGTGAACAAGTTACACGCATCAAATCATTATAAGGACCTCGCCTTGTTAATTGAGTCAATAGCCCCGCGCTGAATAGGATAAAGTATCGACCTTGTTCATATTAGATTTTAATGTCACTATTGATTTTCATACTTCCCAATCAATTCATTGGCTAGACTATGAATCATGGACGAACCAATCAGCTGCAAAATAACGCCTCGAATTTTGGCGTGAAATTCACCTATCCATTTGACTAAATAGAATTTTGGCATTATAGCTGATGTCAGTTCGTGATGAAAACCTTAAATCTAATTCCTAACCTTAACCATCAACTGTAAATCATAATTCCAATTCCTTACGCTGGTTTATAACCCTCATTTGGTCCTAGCTATTGGGTGAACATTCTGAAAGTCACTTTGGCGTTACTTGAAGGCACTCCATAAATTATAGTCCCACCGGTTGACTAACCGCTCGAGTTAATCCTGTCCGAATTTCAGTATAATGTTCACCTGGATTTTTTATTGTCTGTGCATTATCAGTTGTGTTCTCCATCTTATATTCATTAAATTTATCGGGAATTAAAGTACCTTGTATTATTGGCAACGCAGGATCAGATGTCTCAATGCCAGACCATGTATGTACATTAAATTGATGTTTTCGTTTGCGCTAAGTAAGACTGAATCCAAAGAGATTTCGTGCTGTTTATTATTATTATATAAACACAAACATTAGTACTAGGAGGTACCAAATAAATATGCGCCACATAAATCATTCGATTTATGTGAGGGCTAGGATACTACACGGGTGCCCAGACTGAAGCAGGTAGTTTTCTTAGGGGGCCACACCCAGAGCCTTTAACATCAGGGTCTGATCCACAAGGCAGTGAAGCAACGTCACGAGATGCAGTCTCATGGTAGCCGGTGACCAACGATTGGTTCATACGCAACTTGTTCCCTCAGGATCCTGGAGCCCATGTGCACCATTGGTTTGGAATCAGGGTTTCCCAACTACCCTAAGTGGACTCTCCAAGTCCACCGACCCGGTTAAAGCGCCGGAGTTTCGTGTTTCGTCCTCTCAATTTCGTAAACAATACTCTCTTCACGAGAAGGCAGTGAGTAGGACTTCTCTGACAGAAGCTACATACGCGTGGCCATATGAGAGCATTTTGAGAGGGGGAGCTGACTCTCCCCACTCCTGGCTGTACCATGGCATTTGGGGGCTTATTTTGTGCTGTTTGAACATAGTGCCTTAGTATTTCTTGCAGTCTAGCTTGTGTAAAGTCTCACACAGCTCAACAAAATGACCGTCTGAATAATTGCTGTCAGTCTTCAGCTTTATCAGAGTTGCATTTATTATGTGGTCTTGTACTAACTATATATGGCTATATAGAGCTGAGGGTCTCATATGAGACTGGAGGTTCGCCATTGTTATTATGGATGGTTCGCCATTGCTTTAGCAAGTTTTGCTGACTTTTCATGCAAAAATTGGTTTGCTGGTTAACCGATTTCATTCATACTGGTGGTTGCTTTTCAGTGTTCCCGAGGGCCATTGTCATTGGGACATTGTAAGGCATGCCGCCATTGCTAACATTAGCGAGTTTGATTGTCGTGTAAGCGGAATAGGTCAACTTTGGCCTGTTCGTGCTGTGCATAATTGATTCACGCGATCATTGATCGGAATAACTATGCATGTGATGTGAATGTGTATATGAATGGTGCGAATGGTCCACCAGGGTGCTTGGTACCTGTGTGGTTGCGCCACAGGATTGAGCTGTACTATTCAGATTGTAGCGTTAAAGCCTATACGGTGTTTGGTTCCCCTGCTAAATGGAGTTAAGCTGTAATGTTTGCGGGTGGTGTCTGGTTCTCCTGAAAACCAATGTAAAATTACCCTGGCCCACAAGGGTATATTATATAACTGTGAACTGTACTAACTAAACGCTCAGATAACAGGAGTTATTTTTTTAACAACAAATAACCCAGTAGTTGAGTTTCCATATTATTATAGATTGATTAGTATGTTCGGTTGTAGTGAATTTTCAGTTTATCAGCCTATTATTCAGTTTATTTTACTAGCTATTCATTGGTTATTCATTTTAATTCATTACTGAGCAGCAGTATGACAACTTTTATTACTATTAATATTTTTATTAACTGTTGTGAGTTCAACAACATGAGGTTTCCTGAAGTTCTAGTCCCAACTGTTTATAGATGCCTTTTATTTCATTTTGTTCCATATGTAACATTAGTTCTTTCTGACCAAAAACGTATTTCATGATGGATTCACTTTGATTTGCAATAGCGTAACCTGTTCCACAATCCATTCCATGCTTATCACACCAGCTAGGTTCTTCGTGTGCCTGTGTCGTTTTAAGAAAAAACAATCAAACTTCGTTGAGTTTTCGAAATTTCCCTCCCATTTTCTAGTTGAACGGCCAATTAATATTTGGAATACACAGAAATTTACATTACCTCTGACAAAATCGTCAGTCGGAGAATTCAGCATTCATTTAGAGTAAAGTCATTTGTGTTGTTTGTGGAATGTCGGTATATTGATTGGTTCCAGTTCTGTCATCACTTTTACGTAGATAATGATCTGCTATTGACCTGTAACAGCGTTTATGAAACCGGCTATTCCATGACTAAGACAGGAAAGATCTTTTAACATAGACGAGCTGTTGAGTCGCAAAGATAAAGAATGGCGACAAGACTGAAAATAAACTTGAAGTTTCACAAAATCCATTAGTTCGTAACAAGTTGTTTGGAAGTATCATTTGAATGGATAATAAGACTAAAGAAACAAGCTATTTTCTCCATAATTATTAACTGTTATATTTGTAATTGAACTAGCATACTGCCCAGGAGCTCAGACAGAACTAGTTAGTTTTCTTGGAGGGCCAATACCCGAGAGTTTGACGTATAGATCTAGTCCACAAGATTAGAGCGAAGTCATTAATTCAGTCTCATAGTAGTCCGTGATAAAATTAATTTCATATCTTATCCGCTCCATTGTGATCTTGAAGACCATATACACCACTTGTTTGAAATCAGGGTTTCCCAAATCCCCTAGGTAGATCCTCCGTTTTCAATAACCCAATCAAAGCTCCGAACGTTTTCGTTTTGTCCTCTTGTTTTCGTGAAAGCTTCTTGCTGCGTGAAGGGAGTGGAACTTTCTTAGCAGAGGGTGTAAACCCATGGCCGTATCACAGCATGTCAAGAAGTGAGCACTCTCCTTACCCTCGGCTGTCCCAGGGCTATTGGCAGCTTGTATTTTTGTCCATTCTTTATTCTCTTGTTCCTGATTTTGATCAAGTATTATTATTAACAAACATTTAATAGATCTCTCCTTATGAGAATTTCCACTGTATAGCTTCGTAAATTCAATTGTAGAAGGGAAATCTTTATTTTAACGTTCGTATTCTACACTACTTGTTCAGAATCTAGATTATAGCCTTTTTTCGCTGTAAAACATGGGAAAAGTTCATTATATACATGCCTTTAATTTTGAGCACATGAATTGGTTTTTGGTTATTGAATTTCAAGTGTATTCTCAACGTAGTTTACATTCAGCCTGTTGTGTTTCATCTGTTTGCTTCTCAGAATGAACAAATAACACGTCTGATTATTCGAAGGAAGTCTTCCCACTTACTGTCGTGTGATATATCTGTACTATTCTAATGTGTGACTAATGATCTATTTGTAATTGCTTAAAATATCTACGGGATATTGCACATACGATGTCCAACTATTGTATCTTAGTTATTCTTAACTTATTTCTAAATAGATATCTGGTAAATTATGCGAATTTTTTTGAACTTCATGGGTGGTTTTTTCAGGATGATTAAATTTTATCTGAATATTTTAAGGAAATATCCGAACGGAGTATACAATAAAAAATTATTTAGAAACAGGCAAAGATTAACAGAGTTATTACGCAAGGCCTTAAGTTGGTTAGCTAGTATAAATTCATCAAAGTGAATCCATCCGTGCTATTTCGTTTTAATCTTAGTTCTAAGATTTTCTAGAATCTGTGCGAAATTCATTCGAAGTTTTCATTTATCATCTGACCAACAGTTTATTAATCATGCTAACGTAATGTCGTTATTTTCTGTATGATATAGGTGATTTTATTGATCAATTATTCTCCACTTTTCTGGGAAAGTTGATGAACACCAAATTAATATACTTATGTATCACATATGATTGGTGCTTATTTTCACATAGAATAGTGATAAGAACAATTTAGCTATAAACTGTTGGATCATGCGTTTGATATCTCGTATGATTGCTTTTGTTCGTTTATTTGAATAGTATCTTGAAATACTGAATTCCTGAATGCGCTAATATGTATGTAATTTGTGTACAACCTTTCCTTTCATTAAGGATTAAGTTTTATAATTTATTGTAATTCATTATGCTGCTTCTATGATCTTTTTTAGTTCTCAACTTAACTCTGATTGACCTGCCTGGAATGACTAAAGTTCCTGTCGGTGATCAACCTCTAGATATTGAAGTTCAAATTAGATCAATGATTTTGGAATTTATTACGCAGGAAAATTGTTTAATTTTGGCTGTTTCCCCCGCGAATTCCGATTTAGCTAATTCAGATGCATTAAAGTTGTCCAAAGAAGTAGACCCTCAAGGTTTGCGAACAATAGGAGTAGTAACAAAGTTGGATTTAATGGATCAGGGTACGGATGCTCGAGAAATCTTGGAAAACCGTCTTCTGCCACTTAGAAGAGGTTAGTGACAATTTGTTTATTATAAAAACTACTTGGAATTACTAGTATGCTTTCTATTCATAGGAATTTAGAAATATCTAAGCATAACACAAAGACGGTAATATGTGTCCAAGATGAAGTTATTCAAGGTCAAATCACCAAACGGTTTGGAAAGTATAGCTGACTTCTATTTAATATGAAGCATATTTGTAGTTTTTCATACATTCATTCTGCCCGAGCTCTTCTAGTCAGTAATTTGTTGCACAGTGATAGAAAGCCCTACAAGTGAACAAAGGATTCTTTTGGGTACATTTAACACGATAGAATCCAGGAGAATGTAACTTAAGAATTCTGAGCTCCAACTAACAATTGAAACTCTATTCCGAAATTATTTTTTCGTTAAAAGGCTGAACTATTCTTTAAAAGTATATAATACAGTTTAAGCCGAAAATATCAACCGTTATTTTCCTGATAATTAATTTTAGTAGTATGGGGTTGTGGAGACTATTAAGTTTTAATTGAGATCTTGAACCAATTGATGTTAGACCATCACAATTGAAAACCTGGAAGCACTGGACGGCCGTTTCGTCCTATTGTGGGACTCCTCAGCAGTGCGCATCCACGATCCCGCGAGCGGGATTCGAACCCAGGGCCTTCGGTCTCGCGCGCGAACGTCCAGTGCTTCCAGGTTTTCAATTGTGATGGTCTAACATCAATTGGTTCAAGATCTCAATTAAAATTAATTTTAGCGTTAATGCGTTCTCCTTGAAGGCTATAGTATGTGAATATGATTTTAGGAGGGGTCGAAAGTGTGTTTATACCTAGGATTTCTAACTACTGATAAGATAAACACCACCAACTCTTCGATTATCAGACCAGTTTGTACCCATGTATAATGAAATTCAATTAATATGATCTATTCAATGAATTTTAGACTTATGATATCTTTGAGGTATTTGATATCACTAAAACATTATCACAATTACAACGTATAATAGATGACACAGATCACTTCCTGTCGTTTGTATGCTAAACTTGTTGTATCAATATTTTTATATCAACAATTTCACTGAGAAAGTTCTGATCTCTTGTTTCTGTGTAGTTATCTTCCTCAACAAAAATATTCATACTACCTCAAAGAAACCTACACTCCATCTAACAGTGTGTGATGCCTTGCTCCTACATCCTCTTTGGAGTGCATGGTTCTAAACGAACTCTGTTTAATCGTAGATAACACTTTCACTGCTTTCTCTAATCCATATCCAAGAGATTTAATTTAACTGGAAATCTAATGAATACTATGTTACAGTACATCATATTTAGTTAAATTGTTTACACAACCACTTCCATTTAAATCCTGTTTGGCCCACAACTAACGTATAACGCAGTTTGTGTAGATAAAATTATTTTCGTCTTTGATTATCCTCCTTAGTTATACCATTTCGCTCTTTCTTCGTTTACATTTTGACTCTTCACTTGTTTTTTTCTCCCGCTACTTTTACTCATTTTGTTGCTTTGTTATTGTATTTTGTTCTCCTACTCAATCAATGAATTCAAAAATAATTTCCATTGGCTAACCAGTTGAGTTCTATTTATAATATCGGATTTTCATTCCTACTAGTTATTGATCTTGTTTCTATTCTTATTAATATTATGTCCTAGTAACCTTTCTTTCATTCATCTGTTCACTGTTAGTTATTACAATGTAAAATTGAATAAATGTTCTCCAGTGGGAGGGGTGGAATTATTATTTGAGTTGAGGTTACGTGCTTGCTTCTGTCTAAAATTGCAAAAGGTAGGGAAGATAGTTTACCAAACCATGAAGTTTCTTTTGTTCGTTTATGAAGAAAAGTAGTAAATAAGGTACCAGTACTAATTTTTTGTGTCTATAGAAAGTAGACTAAGCTTAACCTTTTATGTACACAAATGTTATGAACAGGTTGTCGGTGGCTGGGGAAATGCACTAGTATACACATTCAGTCGAGGATACATTACTTACTTCTGACATACCTCGTGAAGTTTTATGGGCTGCCCATCAGGATTCTCAATCGAACAATTTCTTGGTCAGCCCATTCCAGTTGTTATTCATCCTTTTCATGTCTGCTTCCGATTCCCGATGCAATGTCTTACTCGGTCATCTTCTTTCCTATTAACCTTCGGAATTTTAAGTTAGCGCTTGCCTCGTGATGCAGTTTGGTGATTTTCACAAATTATATCTATCCACCTCCAACGTCTTTTCCTAATTTCCTCTTCAGCTGGAAGCTGGTTTGTTTCCTCCCACAGTAGGTTGTTGCTGATGGTATCCGTCCAACAGACATTGAGTGTCTTTCGTAGATAATTGTTTATAAATACTTGTACTTTTTGATGATGGTTGTGATAGTTCTCCAAGTTTCAGCTCCACACAGTAAGGCTGTTTTGATGTTCTTATTGAAGTTTCTGACTTTGATGTTAGTTGACAGTTGCTTTCAGTTTCATATGTTCTGCAATTGTAGGAATGCGGTCCTTACTTTGCAAATCCTCGACTTTACGTCTGCATCAGATCGTCCTTGTTCATCTATGATGCTACCCAGATACGCTAAAGTTTACACCTCTTTCAGAGTTCCTCTATCAAATGTGATTATTGGGTTGATGTTCTTCGTGTTGTATTTGAGGATGCTGCTTTTTCCCTTGTGTATGTAGTTGTCTACTGATGCAGAGACTGACACTACACTGTTTGTCTTGACCTGCATTTGTTGATGTGTGTGGGATAGAAGGGGTATGTCATTTGCGAAGTCCGATTCATCTAGTTGCATCTAAGCTGTCCGTTTTATTCCGTACTTTCCCTCAGATGTGGAGGTCTTCGCAATTCAGCCGACTATCAGAAGAAGGAGAAAGAGCGAGGGTGAACAATCTTGTCTGTAACCGATCATCACTTGGAATGCATCTGTCAGCTGTCCTCCATGCACGACTTTGCAGTGTAGTCCGTCACGAGGACTCCGTATGTGGTGATAATCTTCTAAGGTACTATATAGTGTTGAAGATGGTTCCATAGGCCTCTTTCATCCTCACTGTAAAATGCTTTCTCATAGTCAAGGAAGTTGATGTATAGTGACGAGTTCGATTCAGCTGGTTGCTTAACAATGGTTCGTAGTGTCGCGATTTGGTCTGTGTATAACCGATCCTTACGGAATGCAGCCTGTTGATCTCGTAGTTGGGCGACTACTGAATCTTTCATCCAGTTCAGCAACACTGTTGAAAACCTTTACTGATACTGACGCAAGTGTGATGCCTCTGTAGTTTTCGCACTTGCTCAGATTTCTTTTTTTTGATGCCTTGATGAGGTATCCTTCTTTCCAGTCTGTCAGCACTTGTTCTTCCTGCCAAATCTCCCTGAATAGAATGTGAAGCGTCTTTGCAGTTACTTTTATGTCCGAATTCAGTGCTTGAGATGGTATATAGTTGTGTCCTGCTGCTTCTCCACCCTTAATTTGTCTGATAATTATCTTGATTTGTTCTAACGTTAGTAGAGTGACATCCATAAGAAGGTCTGTGTGTGATGCTTTTGTGTTCGGTGGATTCAGTGTATCTGGCTCATTCGGAAATTCCTCAAATTGTTCCGCCCATCTCACCCCCTGTACTTGAATCGTAGTGATTGGCTTGCCTTTTTTTGCTTGACTGATTTCTCTAGTTTACTATACTTCTCCGCTAGTTTCTTCGTTATACCACATAGTTGTTTCATAAGTCCTTCACTTGCAGCTTTTTTCGCTGTCATTGCTAGTTCTTCCACGTATTTCTGTTTGTCGAATCTAATGCTCTTCTTTACTTGCTTGTTTGCTTCTTTGCATTCAGCTTTTGCCTTGGTTTTCTCTGTATTGTCGTTAAGTGCTACCTTCTTGTTTTTCATTTCTTGAGTATTGTCGACGGTTTCGGTTGAGATCCATTCCCTATGATTCTCATTGCGGCTTGGATCCTCCTGATACGTTGAAGTTGGTCCTTCTTTGATCTCTCTCCAGTTACTTCTTCTTTCGGTAAATCCTGTAAGGCTTGGGACCTGTTGTTGAGAGTTATCTTGAATTCTCTAAGTTTGTCTGTTTGTCGAAGGTAGGTGCTGTTTCTCCAGTTGTCCAGTGCTTCTTTCACCTCAGTTTCATCTTGTCAATCATCAGGTAGTGATCTAAAAGCTGTCAGCTCCTCTTCTGGTTCTCACGTCTTCCACTGACCTTGTGAATTTTTTACTGATGCAAATATGATCTATCTGGTTCTCCGTGGTGTGGTCCGGTGAGACCCATTTAGCTTTGTGTATGCGTTTGTGTGGGAATATCGCGTCACCCATAACCATTTTGTTGGATGCACATAAATTTTCAAATCTGCCACCGTTCTCGTTCCTTTCTCCCAATCAGTCCGTGTCGTCCCATGATATCTTCATATTCCGTGTTGTCCACTCCAACATTGCCGTTTTGGTCACCCATCAGTATGGTCTGGTCCTCTCCTAAGCACTTCACTATGATCGATTGCAGCCTCTCATAGAATTGATCTTTATCGTCGTTGTTGCTATCATTGGTTGGTGCATAACACTGTTTTGAAGTATGCTTTGATGATTCTGGGTCCATGACATTTCCATCTTATAAGTGCTTTACGTGCTTCTTTGGACAGCATCAGAACAACTCCGTGAGTGTGTGGAGCATTTTCTTCTTTGTGACCAGAGTACAACAGCGCCTCTCCCGAATCTAACTTTTTCAGTCCAGATTGGGTCCAATGGGTTTCACTTATCCCGAGAATCGCCATGTTGTATCTCCTCATTTCTGTAGCTGTTTGATTGGTTCTCCCAGTTACCCACATTTTCCAAACATTCCATGTACCTATAAAAATTGTTGCTCTGGTTCTTAGAAGGGGCATCGGCCTCGTGACTTCAGAAGAATTTCGGCTTTCACCATGAGGCGTCATTATTCTCCTGAATAGAGATCCTTCAAGTGTCAGTAAAGAGGTTGTGTGGTTTGATTTGTTTCTTGTGGTTAGTGTTTTTTAGCAAGGTTGTTTTCTACGAGATGGGGTTGCTGACGCCACGTCCAACTCTCTTCCTTTACCCGGGCTTGAGATCGGCAGTAACTCTAGAAGACATACAGGCTAAGTTTGAGTATACATTAAGATAACAGTTTTAAAAAATATTTAATCATCCCAAGTTATTAAGTAAGGATACCATTGATGAAATAACTATGCGAACATAATCTAAAGATGACATAAAAAATAATCTGCAGATAAGAAAAAAACAAATGTCTTCTAATGAAATTTTTAGAATTCAAAATATGGTGAATACATCTCCATCGATTGGTTCGAGTTAGTTTCACCCAATATATCCAAGCTCTGGTTTTAAACATGGTGTAAAGGTCATCAATTACCCCCTACCCCCATTTACGGACAATAGAGGAGATTTGTGGTTTAGGAAGTGAATTTTGAAGGTACACAGTTTGATCTCAGCTTAGAGTCTTTCTATCCTACCATTACTTTAAACAATATTGGTTCAAGAGAAAATGTATCACTCTGTAACAATTATAATTTTCCGCTAAAGTTGTTAATACGTTGATATTCCATACATGTATTAAGTCACGGATTAGTATCGATTACTCCCCAGTTCAATGTATGCTAGTTTGACCATTGAATGGTTAAGTAAATCATGCATAAAATAATATATTTTTGGGAGTTTTAATCTGTGGTTTTGTCGGTCGTGGATATACTTGTGGTGTATAACGAATCATCGTTTCCTGTTAACCTTTTTCCTCTATAACAAGTAGCCACACCAGTATTTTGCCCAGATTCACCGTGGTAAGAAACGGTTTTGGGGGCTGAACGCAGATCTAAGACTTACTTAGAAGTTTAACTTCGATGCCACTTATTTAATGGTTCCACAATAATTTGGGATGCATTTGTCTTTAAAACGCTACACTACATGTACATTCTGATTGATTGTTCTTATTCCTTTTTAAATCGACTTATTCCATGCGATGATGCTAACAGTAGTCGGTCTAATATTTTAGAATAAATACAAGTTTAGTAGACAATGCTTGCTAAAATAAGTATTTGAAATATATACTTGGTTGGGGTCCATGTGATTAATATAACCAATGGTTAGAGACTTTAAATGATATGGCTCAAGATCGTTTGCAATGGCGCAGTTACATCCATTTTTCATCTTCCCTGAAATTTTGAGCTTTTAAATCTCCCATAACTTTGTTTTTATCTCACTAATTTCTATTTCTCGAATTATATCTTCGATGCCTAATCTTCTCTATTACCATGGATACTATTACTACCTCCACTCTTTTGGGATTTGATCTGACAATGTCATTTCTGCGCTGATGGGGTATGGGAGATTGAACCGATTTACATACGTACGATGTCCTACTTTCTTACTAACTGAAGGATATCTCATTGTTATTAATTCATCAAATGTACTCTGTTTTCTTCCTATTTAACAGGCTATATCGGTGTGGTTAATCGTAGTCAGCGGGATATTGAAGGTCGTAAAGATATTAAAGCTGCTTTAGCAGCTGAGAGAAAATTCTTTCTAAGTCATCCATCTTATCGTCATATGGCTGATCGAATGGGAACACCATTTTTACAATCTACATTAAATCAACAATTAACTAATCATATTCGAGATACTTTACCTGGTCTAAGAAATAAAATCCAATCACAAATGTTAGCTATGGAAAAAGAAGTTGAAGAATATAAACATTACAAACCTAGTGATCCATCTTTTAAAACTAAAGCTTTGCTCCTGTAAGTTTTATTTGATATACATTGGCCGTTTGGATTTTCTCATTGATATTTACGACTCAAATTGGTCAGTCTCTTTTGGCAAATGTCCATCCTGTACTAACTGCCTCGATATTTCCATTAAGTCATAGGCATTTTCTGAACAGAGATGGATGGTGCCCAGCAGTGGAATCCATCCAGATGAATCATATGATGGCGTTTGGAACGAACGGTAATAGGTTTGAGTCTCAGAGTAACTATCAAATCTGGAATGCAGGTACGTCCAGCCGGCAAGCCCCAAATAAAACGAAATACACGTCCTGAATCATACTGTTAGCCACCATCCATCTCTGCTTAAAAAGTACTGTAAGTTCTGTTATTTCTTATTAGAAAAAGACAACCCTCATGTTTACTTGATATATAACATCGTCAATCTCAGTTTTAAATCATGCCAGTTGTACATTTTGATGTAGGAAGGAGTTGTGTTATGATATGTATGTTTACTATTCTGCATGTTTGGTATGATAAGATTTTATCTGACTAAAATTCTTGATTTCAGTAGTAGAGTCTATTTTCATCAATATTAATAATATCAAAAAATAAGTATGAATTCGTGAATTAGGTGCTGAGTCATTTTTACTATATTGCGACTAGAAATGATACGTTGTTGAATAAACATAAACAATCATTATGGCGCGTATTCTTGATCTATTAATTTAAAACAGTGTATGTTCCGACCAATGAGCGATAGCTACATTTCTTCATCTATGTAAACCAAGCTAACGATAGAGCTGTATATTTTTATTGTTCGGAACGGAATTACACATTTTATTACCACTTAGCGTATCAGGGTATTGGATCGGTTAATACCTAGTACAATTAACGTTGTATGATATGCTTATGATTATCGGTCTATAAATCGGACTCATGCAAAGCCAGAAATATTTAGTTTCATAAAACATCCTCCAGTTTTTTCGTCGGTTTCGCTCCTGACCTTATTTTTTTACGTTTTAATTCCTATATTTACTTCACCAGGTTTCCTGTGATTTCAAGACAAGTCATACATTTAGATAGTGCAATGCGAAGATCTGGCTTATCATTGTATTATTTAAATTTATCAAAGGAATTAAATTTCAAACGTGCAATACAGTTTTCTTAGGTCCTACCTTATTAAAAATAAATCAAACTAGTGGTGTATCACAGTAGTTGAAGAGTTTTACTCAATTTACCATAAATTACAAATTATCACCAAATCCAGAAATCATATGAAGTATAACCATGGAGTAATATTTCCTTTCTCTTCTAATTTCAGAACAGTACAAAGTTTTGAAAAAGATTTTCATCATGCAATTGATGGAGGAGGTTCTGAAATAGATACAAAAACGTTATCTGGTGGCGCATTAATTAATCGTATATTCCATGAGCGTCTACCATATGAAATGAACAAGGTAAAATGTTCGATAATTTACTTTTTAAAGTATGTTCAGCACTCTATTAGTATCATTTATATGACAGAGTTGACAAATCGTATAAGATTTACTCCTCAACTGTAATCAAATAGCAAGTCATTTTGATGTTTTCAGACGACTAGTTTGTATGCCCTGCTGTGTAGTTATACTTAGATTTCTGTTCAGTTAGAAGTAGATTTCGCTCTGTTCAATAAATTAAGATATCATCCGAAAGAACAAACAACATGCACACAATCTATATGTATATATACGATACAAAAATGTCCCTGAAAACTTCACAAAATAGCGTACTAAAAGCGGAAACAAACTACGAACGTTCAAGGACCTTCCAGGCGGGAAACACAAACTGAAGGTAGAAATGAGAGCTTTTGGTGTGAAAATGGGACGTTCAATTATCTGTAATAAGATTACAAAAATGAGTTTACCAAGTGATGTCTGGGGACGTAGCATCCCCAACAGGTTTTTTGCTAAGGGTTGGTGTCAATACTCTGATCAGACTGACGATTGTAAACTCGAATTCCCCTTTTTGTCACCATACAGCCGTGCGTTTATAGCATCTCCCAAGGAAAATCCTATTCATTCCATTCACCTTTTGAACGTATTTACACAACAGTGAAATTAGACTCGTAGCGCTCTGTGTATACTAAGGGTCATCTATATGTTGAAAAGTCATGACTACTGTCCAATAAACTAGTTTAACCATAGGATACTGCAGAAATATATGTGGGTATCGTCACCAGCTACCGCGAAAATCCATCCTTCGAAGTTCCACACAAGTCTTGTGATTTGTATTATCAAATGGAAAGCTTCAGATATATTTTCCAACTTGTCACTAATCTTTATCCTTTAGTGATTTCAGTGTCGAGTTCAAAGATGGAATATTTCCACTTGAATATTAGGTTTTCCTCCAGGTTCTGTGGCCAGAATGAAGTACGAATATTGACACTATACATATTTTCTGAACAGAAATTTAACGAAATTCATAAATGAATTTCGATTATTTTGTTCAGTTACCGTTGTGCATTTTTTTATCGAATAATAAACCTGTAATTAAAATAAATACTTCGTTTACTTGAGCTGTAATTTTGTGACACTTCTTACTAAAAAACTTCCGATTATGGTTAACATGTATATCGATCGTTGCTTGACTTAAACATACGAAGCTTGTAAAAAGTATCTAGCATTAGAATTATTTTTGTCTAAGACATGCACCATTTGTTACTTGAATCCATATTTATGACTGACAGACAGAAATCGCCACCATAAGGGCCTGGCAAACGTGTGTGTAGACCCAATTAACTATATCACATTATGACGAGACGAAAACAACAAGATGAATAGCAAGAGATAAAAAAATGTGGTGGCAATGATAATATGGTAGACCAAGCCTTGGGAATATAGTTTACAAAGACAGAATGGAAAGGTATACATGATAGGATAATAAATTTCAAAATCGAGAGGGAGATAAGGGACAAATGCGTCTGTGCAATTGTGAGTGGGCCTAAACAATGTCACCCAAAACCCTAACCACTGATAGCGGTCGTCACCTGAACCTCAACCAGGTGGTTTGCATCTACCACCATAGATTAGATTAACAGTTACTGTCTTCACGGGCTGATGACACGTTTTGGCTTGGCCATCTCTAGCTTCCATGTTTATACACTGCTTTCCACCAAACTTCTTTATTTTATATTCTACTTAGTTTATTGTTTCCTGATTTGTTTTGATTGTGGTTTTACTCATTAGATCGAAACTGATGAAGAAGAATTACGGAAAGAAATAAGTTACGCCATTCGTAATATACATGGTATTAGGTAAGTGATTGATTTCCATTTGTATTATCTTACATCTCGAAAGTTTTAAATTCGAAAGTTAAAACAATGTGATTAATTCTGTTCTCTGTGTGAGTAGCGTACTTATTTCGCTGACTATCAAGTTGCTTAAAATGCAGTTCCAGTATAACAATGTGTGGTTTCTACACATTTATTCAGATAATATAGAAATTGAATTGAATGCAATTATGAAATACGATCTATTAGAGTCCTAGATGGAAACGTTACTACTGACTACAGGGAATTCTAACGGTATATTATTCATGGTAACACGACACTTTCTATCCGGCTATTATATTACTTTAAAATGTTCAATTATCGTGAACCGTAATTGGTTAGATCCAGGTCTTCTCCCTACTGGAACCTTCAACCCCACATAACTCTATAGGCAAGGCTAGTGGTGGTTTAACTATTGTTCAAAAATCTTGCAAGTATCTAATACTAACTTTTATAAATTTTCTTTTGTTTCGGTAGAACTGGATTATTCACGCCTGATTTGGCTTTCGAAACTATAACTCGTAAACAAATTGATAAAATGAAAATACCGTCATTGAAATGTGCTGATTTAGTTGTGGCTCAATTGACTGAAATTGTACACGCATGTACTGCACGTGTAAGTATATAACTGCTGTCAATAGTACTGTTACTATTATTACTATATTACTGTTTTGAAGTTTGACTTGTAAAATTTGTTTATGATAAAGCTAGTATTCATCACAATTTTGGGAGTTTAAACTATTGGATTTTGATCCAGTAGCTCGATTGTATCGTGCTTTTTACGAAACCTAAAAGTCCTTAGTTCGATTCTTGTCAACTGGATCCTGTGTAGGTCCTGTTGTGGCTACTCAAAAGACGACAAAAAGGTTCAGTGTTTTCTTTAGTCTTCAATGTTTCTCCAACCGCGTTCATCATCATTTATTTATTCACCACATTTCGCAAGGTTGAAAAACTGTTTATATTCTTAGTTAATTTCTCTCTTCACATTACACTTGTCACTTTAATTGTTGGTTCTATATAATGAAACGTGTTTTTTTCTTACATTAAAACATTTTATGACGTACTTTATTCATGTTTTCCTTCTTTATTCTGAGTTGATTCTGGATAATTTCTTCGATTGTTGTTGATTTTTTTGTACTTCAGCTCAATAATCGTAGTAATAATATCACTACTTTTATATATTTTCATATATGTTATTGAAAGAATGATTTGTAAAAGGAAAGTTGTTGATCATTTAATTTAATTTAATTACATTGTAGATGGAGAATTTTCCACGTTTAAGGGAAGAAACAGAGCGTATTGTGAATCAATGGATTCGTGAAAGAGAAATTCGTGCCAGAGATCAAATTGTACTGTTGGTTGACATACAGTTATCCTATATGAATACCAATCATGAAGATTTTATTGGTTTTGAGAGGTAACTATATTATTATTATTATTATAATACTTGATTCAGTTGATGACGTTTACCGAAGTTGGAATTTCTTAGTTGCTCAATTATTTCATCTCTATTAAATTAAATGTACTTAAAATATTCCTCTTGTCTTTAAGTTGATCACTAAGCATTATTATTTGTCAGCGCGATACAATTGATATCGTGTAATATGAAATTGCATATATGGACGTTAAAATATTGTTTTAAGTTAATAGATGTTGGTATACCATATAGTATAGTCAGAAATGATATTTAAACTCGAAGTCAATACCATATACCCCATTTTAAAAAAAGTTGAACCAAATAACTATTCTATGTATTATTAAATCTCACTTGACAAAAATGTACCATAATTCGAATACATTCATTGTATTTATTAGTGCTCTTGTCGTCATAATATCATATTAAGCATTAGTTATGCATGTATGTATGTTCAATAAAAATGTTATTAATACTACTGGGTGAGTGGTACCAACAATTAAGGAAATCAAACAACACACTTTAATGTAGAAGTATTTTTACTTTCGAACGCAAATAAACTTGAAGTTCAATTAGTCTGTGTACATTATTGTATCATGAGCAAAAACAACCCTTTACTAATGATTGTGATCTGTCCAACGGATTATTGTTTATTGGTGTGAGGTTCCCAACAATAGTTTATCCTTATTATGTAATAAAAATGATATTTTCTTGAAGGTTCTGTCACAATTAGTCAATATTTATTATTAAGCTGCTTAAAATGTATACTTTTCTTTATCCAGATAATACATTACGTATTTAATAATGTATCATCAATTGAACAGTTTACACCATAATAATGACTTAATGCTAAGCATTGTCCCCCTACTAATGTTTGGTGTACCGATTTCTTTGCGATCACTTGTCAATTTCGGTACAAATTCACGAAATATGAAGATCGATTATTTTTCCATAAATTTTCTTTTAAACATCTAAGTTCAAGTTATAACTCCATAAGAGTGCTTTAACTTTATTATAACTTGCTGGTTTAGACACATAGTTCACACTGTCTACTGAGACTTGTAACTCACCACGGAGATTTGTGTTGTTGTTGGGTCTCAGAAGTATTTTTTTGTTCAGTGGTTTGTGGAGATTGTTGCCTCCTACTGAAACTAACCTCCGTAGGAAATCCTTTTAGCTCTAGTGAGAACCTGTGACCACTGTAGTTCAACAGTGTTGGGTGAGGGAGTTAACCGCCAATGACAGTGAAAAATGGATAGTATAGCCTATCGAACAAAGTTAGACATGTAACCATCGGATGCTGGCTCAGGTTAAGCTGTTACCACGAGATCTGTAAGTCCTGAGTTCGATGTTACGTGGGTGATGGCTATTTGCTTCTGAGAAGTCTTATACTAGGACGAGACAGCTGTATAGTGCTTTCTGGTTTCCAGTGATTGTCTAGCCTAGATCTGTTTGTGATCTCAGTAATATCTTTTTTGTTTGTCAGCATATTTCATTCCCACTTTTTGACGGAATAGTTTCAAAAAACACTTAGTCTAAAAGGGCATAAATATATGAATCTTTTTGTTGTATTAACGTTTGAAATTGTCGTAACAAAATATTTTTCCATCTTCATGCTCTTCTGAATACTGTGTTTGTGAATTGATTTGAATTTACATATTGTACGGATTATGTTTCCTTTTTTAAATCTGTCAACTTCTATTAATCTTTCTATGCTATCTAGTAAATTTTGAGTACAGTTTCATCGTGAGTAAGTAGCTTTTAAACATTCATCTAAATAAAAAAGTAACAGTCATTCTAACTTTACTAATTAACAATGAACATTCACAATTCTCGTCAAAGGATCAAATATAAGATGCTCAACAGTCTTTAATGACTTGTGATATTCTAAATAATAGTCAGTTTGTTATTTATCTTGCCTTATTACTATGTAATTTTGTGTCCATTGAAAGATAACCATGATCAGTGGTTAAAGAGTTTATGTAATATGGCTCAAATTCGTTCAAAATAGAACAAATTCAATCACTTTGTTTTTCTGCCCATCTTAAATCCCATTATTCCTTCATACATATCTTTCCACTCTACCTTTTTGAACCATATTCCCAATGTTCAGTCTTTCTCAGTGTCATTGCTATTACATTTACTCTAAGATTACAAATCAAAATAAGGCTACATCATTATTTCAATAAAATCCTTTTCACTGTTGTTTATAAGTGCATAGGTACACATTTTTCATCAATCCTGAATATATTTTTATTCGCTGATGTGTTTTCTTTAGGAATTCTCTCATACATACGCCGCTACGTATATTACGGTATGGTTTTAATGTGAAGTTATTGTCACCATAACATTTCAGCTCATACCTTTTGAAATAGTGTTTGTTTACCTTTTTCTTATATATATCTTTTAACTTATTTAATTGTTGGTGAATTTAATGATGAATACAAGTCTTTAACCATTTAGTATAATACATATATACATGTGATTGTTTGAGCGTGTATGCGCTTATTTGCTTGCTTATACTTGCTTTCCTGCTTTGAAATTTATGCTTACATAAATATTTTGTTTACTTTTCGGTTCTTTAACTTAAAATGCATTAATATTCACCAATTATTGTGCTTAATCAGAAGAAAAGCTCAAGAAATTTGGATTCTAGTTAAATAATATTTCATAATAAAATCGTTTTCATTTGGATTACATTTTCAAGTTACATAATCCCATTCATAAGGAACCCAATCAACTATGTTTTATTCGTATGAACACGCATTGCTTAAGTTCGCTTAGGACCTTGTAAAAACTCATTTCTTGTTATATAGAACAGTTTTTTTCCTAGGAAGTTTTTAATCAATTTAGAAGAATTGTTTTCGACTAGCAAGATGAAAAAAATAGGATGTTGTGAACATGTTGAAGATGGTAAAATTTACAGCATGTAATTCAAAGTTACATAAGTCCAACAAGATTTAGTTTAATCTGTAAAATATAAAATCAAGGTAAAATTCTATCAGCACACTATTAGATAAAGTATTATATTGTTTAATGGTTTTCGATGCGCAGTTGATGTTCATCTGTTGCATTAGTGTCAGTTATGTTTATAAATCTACGTATTAATATAAGCGTATTCAGTTTTACCTACTGTTTCTGTATCCGTGTGATCAAATTAAAGAATAAAAAGGCTGGTTATGCATTCATCTTTCTTTATTTTTCTGTAGTGCAGAACAACAGTCGTCAGAAGTAGCAAAAAATAAACCTGGAAATAAGGTCAGCTCAGTATGTTTGCTGATTTATTTTACATATATATGTGTATATATTTTATTATTTAATATACGAACAGTTTGTTTCTATTGAGGGAGATTTATATTCTGTAAATTACGTTGTTTTGTTCATATCCTACAAATTAAATGTACGTAGTAGTTTACAAATACTATCGTTTTAATGTTTATATCTGATCAATTTATGGGGAAAACTGATGCTGACTACCGGTGATGCCGTTTGGCTGTTGAAATTTCACCAAATGCTACAAGATCTAAACCTACATTTTAATGATTTAATGCCGAATACTCAAACCATTAATTCACCACTTCCTTAAAAGTTGTAACTATCGTATGTCCATAGTGATTTTCTATATATTATAGTTTGGATGTAGGGTTTGTTTCCAATCCCTAGTGTTGCACGCGAAAATTAAACCTATGTAATATGCAACAGGCAAAGATAGTAATCAAAAAGAGACCTACATTTTTAAAACATCGTTTGTTCTCATGGTATGTGTGAAAGATCTCGCAGCCTACTTCGGCATATTTTTCAAAACACTTTTCATTAGAAGTCGACACATCTGAATTGTTGCAGGTTTTATTATGTTGTTTATTTTTCAGATCAACTCCGTCTTATTGTTCTATCGAAATATGTTGTTTATAAAACAATTTCTCAGTTTGTGTCATATTTTTGTCCATGTTACCATGATATAATAAATTATTTTTCACATATTAGAAGCAGATGAATTTGTTTAGTAATGACTTAATTATTATTATTGTGTAAATAATTGTGACTTGCACATATCACATGGTTAGTGTCGAAAATACAACACGACATACTTAATTTATTCATTCGTCCAATGTGTTTTTTTTGTAGCCATAATTGATTTTTAATGGTAAATTTATTGCATAATTTACCTACCAATAGACTTTTCGACATGCTGACTGGTTCGTATGTAATTATAACTTGTGGACTATCGTATTTCTAGTGTACACACAATTATTTTCTGACGTCAGATGATTTTGTTTCTTGACACGGTCTGTTTTCAAATTATATAGATCTCTCTACAGGATATCTAAGTTTGGAGAGTTTTTAAAGGATTATCCCTCAACTACATGAATTTAATGTGTAATGTGACATTCCAATCCTTGTTTATGATTTTGATCGTGTGGCCGAGGAGACAGTAGACATTAGTACTCCAACAATTAATACCTTTAAAGTTATCCCAATTTATCTGTATTTTAACATACTATGCATGGTGATGAGGCGTAGTGAAATCGGCTGTTCAGTGTTTTTTTTTTCTAATTTCATATCGCCTGTATGCTTCGCTATTGAAGTAATTGATTTGTCCAGTTATGTGTTATCATTGAAAATAATTTAGTTAAGTCATTTAGACGTCATGCTTTGAAGCTCGATGTATCGTAGTTGTAGCGAGAAAGCCATTCAGCGAATACATCATTCGAAGCTAACGTCCATTGACGAATTTCATACATACTAACCATCTTCATGATCAGAACACAAGTGATTTTAAGTGTAAAATAGATATTTGCGTACATTTTCATACATATTCATGTTTTGCTTCATATGTATAAACCTTTATTCGCAAATAATTATTATTTACAAGTACCTATTAATAATTATTCGGATCACTATTTCGCTCATTTCCGAGTTACGATTCAGTCTAATTCACCTTGTTAATGGAAATCGCTTAAAGACGCGGCTTTTGGTTTTAGAGAAATTAAAACATGTACGAAGAAGTTTATTTGGAATGTACGGAACGTGACTTACAAAGGAATGCGAGCAAGACGTATGCTTCGTATTATTTTGGACTCGTCAACTGGATGTAATTTCATCCGATAGTTGATGTTCAGTCTGGAATCCGAACCCAGTACCTTCCGCTTTAAACGGGATAATCTAAACCATTTCAAATTAAATTCTGTACAGTGAAGCTTAATTTTACCATTCAATAAATGTGATTATCTTTTTTAGTAGAGGACACAGTACTTTTTAGGAATATCCGTCAAATTTGAAGAAATAGTTAAGCGAAAATTGGGCACCGAGTATTCAAAGGACAATATTTGTAAAAAAATTATATTTAAAATAATCTCAGAGATTGAAATTTAAATAACTCCATTATGTCGCGTAACAAACCGTTCCGAACTTCATCAAGGGAGCAATAGACATTGTGGGAACATTTTTTGAAGGGTCAATTTGATAAGTATTTAAAAGAACATTTCAACATTTTACTTAAAGGTTATTTTAGCGTGGGTACTAATTATATTCTATTTAAGTAAAAATATTTTTAATTCTCTAAGTTTTAGCGAATTATTACTTACGATGTAGTGCTTCTTTGTTGTCATATGCCAGAGTTTTACTATTCACCAATGATTTCTACATATTAGGGCCTTTACTTTCAAAAGTAGAAACAACTGTAATCGCACTTGGAGTCACTATGTCGAAATTCTAACCCATAAGTATGCATCCAATTTCATTATACTGAATTTTGTATGGGGTGTTCAACGAAAATAGGAATATGTCGCTAAATAGCAGCATCTGATTGCATTAATATACAGATTTAAAATGTATAAATGTGAAGAAATAACTAGACTAATGAATCATCATATCAGCGTAGTTATTAGGGAAGTTCGTATTGAGTTGTGCATAATCTGACATTAAAAAGCATTTATATTTATCTACATACATTCTTGGTCAATGAATAATAAATGTTTATGCATACATTCTTTTTTTTCTTATGACTAATAGTCACATTGATTTTATTTGTTTTTCAGGTAATTCGTAAAGGTTGGTTATCTTTGCAAAATGTTACTTTGCTTCGTGGAGGTAACAAAGATTTTTGGTTTGTATTAAATACTGAATCATTGACCTGGTACAAAGATGATGAGGTAAGTTACATAACATTTATTAAATATCCTCTTATAAATTTAATTTTGATTACTTTGATATTTGCCTCGCTTTATGTTTACGACAGTAAGGATATAGAGATCTTTAATTTAATTTTTTAGAATTCTCTCTAATTCATTTTAGTGCTTATTGGTTTTGTGTTTTGACATTCCTCAACGGTTATTTACAGGATATACATTTCATCTTAGCTGCTACTCGTTAGTTAATGTGCTTAGTAAGATTGTATCCTAATACTTATTTAATCATGATGCACTATTCCATTCATTCATGAAAACCTGTTAAACTGTGCAGTGCTTCTCAACAGATTCTACCAGTATTAGCGAAAAAAGATTTATTTTAGCGTCATTTTAAAGTTTGTAAGCTGCAAGTATGTGGTTAAAGATGTTAGAAACAAATACACAACAGACTAATTTATTTATATATTTAGTCAATGTGGCCTATTAATGTTACAAATTGTATACATATATTTATATAAATATATATACTTTAGGTTACTGAATAATTTTTGTCAACTACTACGTAGTTAAGTGTATCCAAATTTACCTACTGATCAAACAAGTAAACCATATTTAATTCGATGTAGTTTTTATCTAGTTTTTGAATAAATTGTGGAATCGGTGATTGTATTTGTTGTGGATATATTTCTGACGCATAATAAATCCACCTTTACTGTCTTTCTTTACATTATGGTGTATTAGGCCCTGTTTAGTTATACAGGGGCAAGTAACCAGTTTTATCCACAGGATATCAAAAGCAGCTACGCTAATACTTTGTTACAAAATATTACAACGCCCCTGAGCCGGTACATTTGTTGACCGATTCCTGAGGGAATCTAAATGTTTTCTGTAAAATTCTTACATTCCATCATAGTTGGTCACGACTGCTGCAATCAAACATCCGTTTTCCTCTGTCTTCTCAATCGTTCGGGGATAAAGTAGAGTTATTTGGGAGGGGGTGACCAGTATTTTTCTTAATAACCTTTTGTGGTATCGTGTCCGCTTTTCTAATTGCGTAGATGAGTCAATATGTAACTATCAGTTAGTCGAAATATTTACAAGCAAAAAATATTCCGTCGATTTTTATCCCAGACTGACAGTTGGCGAATCGTTAAAGCTAGCTAATATCAGTTCGGGGTGAATATCAAATTTTCATACAAAAACCTCACGAAATCACCTAGATAAATGGGTATGCATTAAATTCTTTCTTTCAATGATATATATATATATATACTGTTGAATAATTAAACGCATAGTATTTTTATCAACCTATATTACTTGTTAATACGGAAGTCGACTAACGATCAATGTTCTTACTGTTAATTTCTTACATTTTTTTTCAGGAGAAAGAAAAGCGTTATGTCCTATTATTGGATGGTTTAAAAATACGCGATATTGAAACGGGATTTTTCGGTAAAAAGCATGCTTTTGCACTATTTTATCCGGATAATCATAATGTCTACAAAGACTACAAACAATTGGAATTGTGTGCTGAATCAGCTGAATTAGTTGATTCATGGAAGGCATCATTTTTGCGTGCTGGTGTTTATCCAGCTAAAACTAAATCGGAAAAAACGGAGGTATGTAATGAAAACAACATTATCCTATGATGGCTTTCTGTGGTATATGCTTATCTTAATGATAAAACGTTTTTGAAGACTATCTGTCTGACACGGGATTATATCTTTTCTTACGTAATCTATTATCGAAATCCCGAGAAACGAATTATAGTATTTTACTTCCGAATTCATCTGAATCCCCTTTCACCATCAAGTTATCAAATTAAAATAGTTCCTGTTTCACTTCAATACCAGTTGTTGTGAATAAAGATAATGATAATGGTCAATAAAAGAAAACCTAATTACCAGTTATTATTTCTTTGTCATTGTATATGTGACATTTAGTGTAAAATAAATTAAGATGTTCCAAAACTGCATTGTTGATGTTGAATTCGATTATATTATAGAGTAATTTATTTATGTGTTGGTTGTTTGAATCTTTCCACTGATGTTTATGACTGCAATTGATCAGTTTCTTTTGGCATGTTTGAATCCTGTGCAAATCGCCTCGATGTTGCTTTAAGTCACAAGCATTATAATCAGAGATGGAATCAGTGGCTAAGCGGATACACTCGATGACGTTTGAAGCGAAAGGTACTGAATTCGAGTTTCGAAGTGAACATCAACTCTGAGGTACAGGTACATCCAGCTAATGAGTCTCAGATAGGATGAGACGCGCGTCCTGGATTCCACTGTTAGCCATCATTCATCTCTGCTTATATCAAATTTTTTTTCTGTCTAATATTACCAAATAAATGTAGATATTCTTTTTTGTACTTATAATAATGAATAGTGGGTTTTATTTTTCTAACATATAAATCAGCAATAATTAAAATAGTTTTGTTACAAATGAAAACGAGTGCATTTATATACGATAGATAACATGATAGGAACTATACTGCAGTACTTTTTTTATTTGCATAAGATAGTTCATATACGACTTGACCGTTTTGTTTATTATCTGTAATTGTATACTAAGAAATAAACATTTCTGGTCAGTAATTTTCTTTCCTCTTTCCCGTAACCATGAAATATGAATTGTTGTAAGTACTCAACTTTAAAAGATTAAAAGGTTACCTTTTTCGGATTATTGGGTTGTAGATAAATTATCGAACTTATGTGTATAGAGTTAACCAATAAGAGGTATCTACGCTAACTACATTATTGAGGACATACATTCTAAACATCTAATTTATGCTTACTTTGAGATTAGATTCCGAAAAAATTTTTATGGTCTATGTTATTACATGTTACCAATGTTTGATCAGTAAACTAGTAAGAATGGGAATATCTCTGATGTAAATTAATTAAATTCTTTGTGAATGTCATTTAATTCTTTCCAAAAATATGTATTCTATTGTGATTCTGAATTTAAATAGAATAAAGATCTTTCATACTTTGTCTATTTGAAATATTCTCCAAGTCGAAAAAATTGTTTGGGTTGACTCTTTCAATAAAAAAAGAAAAGAAACCTATTGATTTAACATCTTTTTATGGTTCTGGAAGGTGTTGGTCATCGATATACAAAATAGATAATTATGTAGCGTTTTTATAAAAATTGTTCTCGTTGTTATCGATCATACACGTGCTACTTCATGATGTGGTACTTATGTTTTATCGTTGGTTAACGTAGCATCTTTTTATTTTATTGGATTAAAATGTACTCATCTTAGTGGCTCTAGCTAAATTCAAAACCGATTGTAAATTTGCTGATCACAGCTGTGAAACCATGTTTCTTAATTAGCTCTCAAATCCCGTACACGTTTCTACGGCTATACATCGTTAGGAAAGAGAAAAAGCGAAAATTATATCTGGCCAATAATATTTTTTAGATTATATTTTATTAGGCTTATTTTCACATAGATTTAATCAATTTGGGTATTCCTTTACCCTCTCTTTTCACTATCATTTATGTTTTTCAGCAATCTGACACTTCATCACTTGAATCCAGTGAGCCTCAGCTGGAACGTCAAGTAGAAATTATACGAAATCTAGTCGATTCATACATGAAAATTGTGATTAAAACGCAGTTAGATTTGGTACCAAAATTGTTAATGCATATGCTTGTTAATGAGGTGAGTATATATATATATATATATATATATATATATATATATATATATATATACGTTTAAATGAAAGCCCTTCATACAAGATAACAATATGATGTTTATGTTTTCCATGGACGGATAAACTTTCTATCGTCAAAATATTGAAGTAGTGCATTATTTTATTTATCAAAGTAATTTGACAGGACTTTTACCAAGCCTCAGTATACACTGTGAGTCAACCAAATAGACATGACCATAAAACAGATAATGTCATCGGTCTGCATCCATTTATTTAGTTCATTTTTCTTGAAAGTATATTGAAGTTCTATTTTTCTAAACAGTTGATAATTTGGTCTAGGTTACTGTGACTTATAACATTTTCTTAAACTAACGTCAGGGTTGTTTACGAAATTGAGAGGACGAAAAGAGAATGTCCGGCACTTTAACCAGGTTGGTGGGCACAGAGGCTCCTAGGGGGCAATATGTATAGGGAAATAGTATCAATGATAGTGACACGACTAAGCATTGAGAATATTGTTCGGATAAAAGATAAGAAAATATCTGTATGGAAGAATATTGAAACCTACTATTTATTAAAGACAAAGAGTTCGTACATTAAGATCATTGTCACCGATTCTGTGCCATGTCACCTGACATTTCTAAACACTGATCACAGTTATCGTTCAGACTCCAACAATGTACTCTATGTATATTAACACAGTTCAGTCTAATAGTCAGTGTCTTCGTGGACTGATGATATGTGTCTCTAGCGCTCTTTAACCTACTATCGACATTCGTATTACGTGTCAAGGTAGATGATGGTTCGGCATATATAACACATGACCCATTAGCTGCACTCAGTGAAAATTTACTGCTTTATGAACTGATTTGATATATCTACCGTGTATCTTACATCTAACTGCAGTATTGCGCACTCTTTTGTTTTATGATATTTGGATAATACTTCATAGGCATCTGTAAATAAATGCCTGTATATATTTTCTAATTTCATATATCATATCTCACAGCAGTAGAGTAATACAATGTTGTCATTTTGCTTCATATCTTATTGTGCTCAAGGGTTTCGCTGTTTCTAAACAATTAGAAACAAATTATTCTTAGTAGTAATACAATATAAAATCAACATACCATCATTGGTAGCATCTGTTGTCTTTTGACCCTGTCAATTATCCTATGACAAAATCGCTAATCAGAATACTGACTTCTAGGACCTTGTTTTTGTGCTAAACCAATGACACGTCAACCAGCACCAACAGCCCGGCGTCAACTCTGAATCCTTATTGGTCCTCAAAATAGTGACTTTTCGCCTAACCCCCTGCCCATTGAATCCAGAACACAGTCTCAGCCTCCACTTTATGAATCATATGTTTCAGACATACGTAGTTTATATACATATACATAATCTTCGGATACAACAATACTGGCACTTAGATTTATCGTAATAGACACTCATCTCAATTAATTACGATACTGTCCAGTTATTCCTCGTGAAATGTAAACCTCACTACTGTGTATGTCTAATGTAATTTCATCTATTTTATTTGATATATTTTCATGGCTCTTCATGTTAATGTTTTTCGCATACACTGTAAATCGTACTATGTTAGTTGTTTTGTATCTAATTTCTTTAACAGTCCCGATTTGCATAAAATACTTTTTTCCATGTAGCTTTTTAGTAATAATTAATGTCGGTTGTTAAAAAAACATTTTCTTTTCTTGTTCAGATTAAATCCTTCTTAAAAGGTGAACTATTACCAAATTTATATCAAGCTGGTGACTTGGTGAGATTCTTTTATTATTCAGAATGAATCAGTTATATTGCTTTATTTCATTTCTTTTATAAATAGATTTTTAATTAATCTCTGTTTAATAGTATTATGGTGATAAATTAATGGAATTCATGAATTGATTAGACATAATTTTTTTTCCTGATTTTATTCCATGTTGTTGAATGGATCGAATTCGTCATGAAAATCATTTTCAAAAAAATTGTATCATTGTCATTCACTATGCCATAAACTAAGAAAGTCAAAATAAACTTTATTTTACTGTTAATAATTTCTGACTTATTTTTTGCAAATAAATTTTACTCACTTTACTTATATAAAAAAGCAAACAATAAATTCAGTGAATCAGTTAATGAATATTAGCTTCAAATATCTCCAATTATGTGTAGCCTTAATTAATTTACTTCTAAATCAAAATTCCTGCTTCGGTTTGGGCACCCGGGCAGTATCACAGCCCTCACACATATCAAATGAGATCTGTGTGGCGCATATGTATTTGGGGCCTCCTTGTACAAATATTTATGTGTTAAAATAAATAAATCAATATAATCCAGTTGGTGTAATCTTAGTTTGATGTTACTCAAACATCATTAAATTTCACTGATCAGTGTTGTTTTTTTTATATATAACAAAAAGTAGTATGAGTTCTTTTGTTCACTTATATTCTAGCTGTAAAGTATGGAATTGCTTACTTACTTACACTTGTTATTCCCAATGAAGCATAAGCTGCTGACCAGTATTCTTCAACCCACTTTGTCCTGGACCTTCCTTTCCAGTTCTATCCAATTTTTGTTCAGTTTTCTCATATCTGTCTCCATTTCTCGGTGTAATGTGTTCTTTGGCCTTGAAGATTCCATGTGACACAGTTGGGTGCTTTCCTCAATGTATCTCGTATCCACTTCCACGCTTCTTCCTGATTTCTTCCTCTGGGATCTGATTTGTTCTCCCCCGTAGTAGGTTCTTGCTGGTAGTGTCTGGCCAACGGTTCCGAAGTATTTTGCGTAGACAATTGTTAATAAACACTTGTATCTTCTGGATGATGGCTTTTGTAGTTCTCCAGGTTTCGGCCTCATACAGTAATAAAGTATGGAATGGAATGTTTGAATTTTGATTGTTTTTACACTTGAAAAGAAAGTGGACCTTACTAATCACCAGAATTTAGGATTGTAATGAAACACAAAATAATTTGATTATAATAATTCTTAATGATATTTGGTATTTAATCCAATTAGTGTGATTTTCTTTTAATGTCTATACATATACTGTCATTGTTATTACACTTTAAGAATTCATTAATGTCTGAATCATTGGGGGTTCAACAAAAACGCGATGAAATGGTCCGCGTTTATGATGCTATGAAAGAAGCGTTGAATATTATAAGTGAAGTGTCTATGTCCACTGTATCAACACCAATTCCACCACCAGTCAATGATGACTGGTTACAGGTAAATGGTTATTTTATGTATTTTTTTTCACTTAAAGTAAATCAATACAACTTAGCTATCACATTTATGTCCATATGGTAGACCATATTTTACTGTTTGCTGATTGATAATCCTGACTATACGTTCAAAGCGTCATAGATACTAAATGCTTATGGTCTTATTTTCATGTGATATGACCTTCTAACTTACATTCTAGCCTGGAGCATCTTTTTATGTTAAAAATAATTTCTTTTTACTCTTCAAATAGTGAATCACTCTGGTGTTAGAATAACTTCAAATTATATCCTAAAATCTCCATTATTACGTATCTTTTCTTGTACGTTGAAGTCAGTTATTTAAATAAATACGTCGAATTTTATTTCCATGTTGTAACATTGACTTAAACCTACCCTGGTAATATTGACTTATTATCCAGAGTCATTAGGTTTCGAATCGTGTTCACATTATTATTACTCTTATTATTATCCTTATCTCCTCTTACCCCATTTCCAGTCTAGTTGACCTTTTATTTTTATTGATAAATACTCTTAACAAGTATATGTGTGGTCAGATTGTTCGAAATGTATTGCGCTAATATATCACATAATTCTGATAATCTTCACCTTATTACATTACCGAAATTTATCAAAGGGACTGATTACTTTAAATATCAATATAATAAAACATGTATGTGAACCTCAAACAACTAACAGACTTTCATAGATAAATTTCAACAGTCGAGAAAATTAAACCTCTCCATGTTGACTGTGTTAAGCATTTCCAGTTGATTTGTTTCGATTTCAGTTATTATATGATATTTAAAAAATTTGCTATTGTTTTTAATCGTCCTTACATTTTAATAAATAGAGTGATATTCCAGGCGGTTTAACTGCTCCGGGATCTACAGGTACACTTCCTCCTCCTAGTCCAACAGCTAATCGTCGTCCACCAGCACCACCTCCTCCTGGTGGATGGAATTCTACAAGTAATACGGGTTCAATCAAAGGCTCTGGTCCCAGACAAGTACCATCAGTTCCTGCCAAAACAAGTTCTGGACAACTGCCTTCTCCATTGATTCCACAGTAAGCTTTTTTTGTTGTCGTTATTGAAACAATGTTTTCAAATTATTGTTGTTTCAATGTAGTAAACCCTTAAAAGAAGATAAGTTATGCACTTTTTAGACATAGCTATTAGCGTACGAAGAAATATAGTTCCATTGATGAAGAAAAAACAACTTTCTTTTCGTAAAATAACATAGAACTTCTTAATGGTAGATTGCTATCACGCCTACAAACAGATATTTGTATGAGTAGAAAAATGACAGTTGGTGTGGAAGTGTTCAGAAATCTGTAAAATAAAAGTGATTTTTCTATTATAGTACAAAAGGATAATTTATCTTCAACTTATACAACCATACTGTTACGGACCTACCTTGCAAGTTTTTAATTCCTTCACATAATTTAGACCGCAAGTCAGTAATATTGCTGAACGATTGTCAATGTTTAGATTTGGTCGATACTGACTTTTTTCTTCCTCAACTAAACGAAATATACAGTCCTGAGTGATACATCATCTAAAGCTGAAACATTTACTATTATTAAGATTTTATCAGAAAAGTGTCCACATACTTTGATTTAAGAATTATTGAATTGTCTTTACTCAACATTGTGAGCAAATTGATTATCTAAAGAACGATTAGCATCGGAAACCTAACCAGCCAACATTTTTATGGCAATATTGGTCAATAGACTAGAATTGATTGTGCAAGTTTCATTTTATTCATGCACATTTTATATTACGTAGTTAAATTAATAATATACTTATTTGGTCAAATATGTGTCTGTGTGAAATGCTATTTTATAGGAGCTCTATATGTATACTACTAAAGTATACAAATTTTATGTTGATAGTGTTGAACTCTACACTCATGACTTTAATTGTGAATGTTGAAACTAACCTTTATGATATAGGCACATTTATAGGGATAGATATAATTGGAAAAATTATTTATATGGGAGATATTTCTATAGGGTTTACAAGTTTTACAGACTACTTACAATAGCAGTAGTATGTAATTCTAACAACTTAAATTAAAACTTTCAAAGCCATAAAGTCAAACTATACCTCAAAATTTGTGGGAGTTAAACAGTAGATAACGCAATGTATATTTATGATTCACTGTACTATATTATAAGCATCCCAACAACTGTTTGATTATATTATTATTTGTTTTCATTCATTATAATTATCTACTAACAGTTGTCTGTAAATTCAGTCAATAAATATGTGTGATACTACTTATGTTTTCTGTTGGGTACTAGTTTATTTTGTACTTGGAGGGGGAGTTACTTCATAATATTACATTATTCCTGTTGTAAACATGATAAACTGCACTGTTTTCTTAAATTATTTGTCTTTTTGTTGTTTCATGTGTTGTGCATTGTATATGTTGTCACTTATTTCTGTTTTATTCATTTTGTACGTCTGTTTTTCATCGACGCACATTTCCGACGATTACTACTACCGTCACAATTGTAAATCTCATGTTTTACATGTATACGTGCACATTCTATACGTGTGTATGTATATATAGACGGTTATATCCAGCTGACATGTTCTCGATCGTAAAAGATTCCAATTCTCCTGGATTAATTAATTCTATGACAAGTTTTCCACTAGTACCACCATCCATTCCTGCGTAAGTAAATAAAACCATATATCAGTCAATGTTTACCATCCAATTTGGAATGTTGATTTTTTTCCTTGTTGTTGTCGTTGTTTCTTGCATTAAAAACTGGTTTGCATGAGGTTGAAGTGAGTTCCCGTTTGTTTCTTTTTTTTTAATTTGTATACCGAACAGAAAGTGGTAAACAGTTAATCACACCATAGGATGCGATAAAAAGATCTTAAGGCGAATGTATGCCTACTTATTCAATTGATGAACAAGAGATTATGAATTAATTACTCTATCAAGCTACTACTTTCACATAGTCTCTTAATAACAGTGTACATAAATACCAAACGGCTTAAATTTAATTTCAATGAAATCTTGAGTCGGTCGCATTTAAACAACCATTGAAAACTTGGAAGCACTGGATGGCCGTTTGGTTTTAGTACGAAACTAATTGTACGAATTCCTTATTATTGTTAAACGAGTTACTATGTTACATCTCAGTCTTATATTGATGATATTAATGTAGATTAATGTACTTAAAGTGTGAAAGCGATTTATCATCAGGTGATAAGGTAAACTGTTCAATAGATAACAAACGCTTGATTCGAAGATAACCATCCTTTCTCAGTGTTCAGTAAAACGTACAATATTCAATAATTTCGACCATTTCCTCATTCATTTAGTCCGTCAGTGTGACATGTAAAACTTTCAATGATTCTGAGTTGTTTATTCACACTCATTCTGTTGTGACCTTTTGTAATTTATATTCGGTTCACAACGAATAGTCATGAATTATTTTTAAACATTGTATAATCGTTGAGAAAATGTGAAATTTCTTCATTCTTCCTATCTTACATGTTAATAATAGTAATAAGACATCTACTATGATGAAAATTTATTTAATCTTGTGGTACACACTAAGGGCTCTTTAGATAAAGCTATACCTATACTGGTGATTTTGAACTGATTTTAAGTCTATCAGAATCCAAGTGATGTATGTGGATAATATACTACGTAAAATTCCATAAAGGTTTAAGAAGCAAGTTAGAAATCAAATGCAAGAATGCTGTGCTGTCATAAAAATGAAATTACAGTTAGTTCTTTGATTTTTAAAAAGTCTAGTACCTTTCTTATGATTTTAAATATTTATAAATTGTATTCTATGTTTATAAATTTCAAGCATCTTACTAACTAAATATTGACAGGGCTTACTCAAATCTTAATAAAGTACAAATTAACCTCAGTTTTCAATCTGATTGGTTTGTCGGTTTAGTTTTCCGCTTCTTGAATCAGTAAATGTATATAATTTACTTGTCAGAAAAATAATAATAGTCTTTTCTAAAGGTCTGTTGTGAAATGTTTCACACTAGACAGGAAACGTTCAATTAAGGTCTAGATTAAACAAAGTCCAGTATTTAGTTTCCGATGTTATTTTCCACTTTTCACTGTTTTAATATATTTTTTTCTCCACTAATTTTCAATCACACTTTGTCCGATTTCATTTTAGGCGTCGTTGATAAGTCACATCACTCAAACACTGTTATCAGAATCCATTAATGCAATTATTTATTCCTAAAATCAATATTACATTTTCTTCTAATAATAATATTATATTGTGAAAAACAGTTTCAGTTGGTGACGATTTATGTCAAACAATTATACATTTCAATGTGTTACATCAGTTAACTTACATGCGAACCTCAATGCACATGGACACACTCATATATATATATATATATATATATATATATATATATATATATATATATAAAATTTATGAAGCTTGGTTAATAACCAAGCTGTTTTGATGCATAATAACAAATATTGTTGTATACTTCATAAATTATTCTTATTGTTGTAATCAATCTCATTCAACATTATCATCATCATCATATTCCTTACCGTCTTCAACTTTATTCTTCAAACCATATATTTACACAGTAGTATACGGTTACTATTGATCTTTTATTTAAACTTCTGTTTGTAATTATATTACAGTTGTTATTCCTTTATCACTATTATCATTACCTAAAACCCATACTACATTTATTACCAGTTTATGGTAATGTTAATGATAAGTATAATATTACTTATGATTGGTTTGGAAAATATTATTATTCATTCCTTGTTCTTTGTGTTTTTATTCATTCGTTAATTAATTGAAATATGTTGTGATAGAGGATTACTATTTATTTTGTAGATATTTCCTTCATTTTGTCTTAAGTTAATTATTTATTGGTTTTTTTTATATTGACTGGGATATTGTTGTTAATCATAAGGTGGTATAACTTATATTTTAGCAAAGATTATTAGAAATCAAATTGTCTTTTAGATAATGGATATGCATATATTAAAACTTATTATTTGCTTTCAGAGAACTATGTATATAGTTTGTCCACAAAAAAAATGCAAATTAAGATATTTACGTTATTAATTATGAATTTAGGCAATTTTGTTTCTGCAAGTAGGAAACTTCATTTATAAATTAGTTTCATGCTACTATTTTTTTGGTGGTATCGAATACAATGAATCCTTTTCCAGGAAAGCAAACTAGGAATGTTGCCTCGTACTGTTGTTGCTATCTTGACATGGTGGTCGGGTTTGCCTATCGTGATGAAGCAACCGAGCTATACTGGCAGGAACAACCGATCCTCATGGTCCTACTATGTCAGATAGGTCGGTTGAAGAGCAACAAACCCAAGGTCCGAAGGCGAAGTCGTACTGCTGACTGTAGAGGGGTGTGACAGAAGTAGGGTGTTTCCTTCAGACAACCAGCATGACAGCGATGCTGCCTTCTCACAAGGAGGGATGGGGTTAGAAAAGGTCAGCCCTAAAAATGCACACCTCGCCTTATCCCACGGATATCCGTCTCCGGAGGTAAGGTCTCAACAAGTACGGAGCTAACACAAAAATTACTCATAGAAATGTCGTGTGTGACCGACTTCAAGCAGTTATCCCTTAGACACTGCGGTCACGCTCTCAGGTCACTAAGACCACCTGTAATCCAATTTCCTTTTCAGGTACCTCCAGAAGAACCCTTCCACAGTGTGGGCAACCGGGAAGTGATAACCGCCCTCATCTTTGACAACACTCAAGAGCACTGTATTCATGATCAATCTCCCCCTTCCAACCTTGTATCTAAGGTTTCTCATCACCAAACATCAAACTGGAATTTCGTTTTATTCATCGAATTCCAAAAGTTATGCGTTAGTAGCACTAAGATGTTATAGAGACGATGAAACGTGAAATTAATAAGGATCTGTGGATGTGACTGAGAATATTTTGAACAGTTTCAATATAAATCGGGCAAGTGTATTAACACAAATGAGAAGTAGTTCGAAATGAATAAAATTGATGTACCTTTAATTTTGTAACACAATGTCCCTATAACGTGAGTTTTCGTATTAACTGGAAGGTTTCAACGTAAAGTGTAACTGCAATTCTGGTGAAGTAACGGATAAATCACTATAGGATTGACTAAATTAATAAATTTTGTGTTATGACGGAGTATATACTGAGTGTTTGAAATATAATAATCGAGGCTTGACTGCATTGTCTTCCCATTGAACTCAAGACTAAAGGAAAGAAGGTGATCATATTGACGGGTTAATGTAAGTCAAAATTATCTCGTTAGCGCTTAGGGTTAAGCGTACTATCCTTATGGGTCTCATTGTCAGAGTTTAGTAATTAGTCAATAGGCTACAACAAACCAGCTTTTCATCTCACTCTGGTCAGTTTTTATTTCTTTAGAAAAGAGATTTTTCCTAAATAAATGAAAACGCTAAGTTTAAAAGTGGAACATTCAACTACACATTGGATGTAATGAAAAAATCGCATGTTACCTTAGAGAAAATCCGTCTTTATTTGTTCATAACTGCTCAAATTGAGTGAGCAAACCACCAAAACTGTTAATGGTTATGTTTAATCGATGTTTATAACATATCCATAAGTTATATTATCTCTGTATTTTGTAAGTTAAACATAGTAACAATCCACTCATAAGTTCTTTAAAACAGCCTTCCCGTTGATGATTAATTGTCATACGTTTTTGAGAAGAAACCATTTAAGACTAATGTGCTTGTGGGTATCAAACAAACCGAGATAAAACACGATTCGGTTTCAAAGTTATTGAAAACAAGAAAATAATAAACAGTCGTTTCATTCCTGTTTAATTATATTTTATAGAATTTATTGTTTGAAATTGATGATTTGTAAAACATATGCATATACAAACAACAAAATAAAAATCAATCGGATTAATTGTTATCGAAAACTTCGGTTTTCTTTATTAAATTGAAATTAATGATTCTCTAATAATTTCAATATTTGAAATCATGAGTCATTTGAAGCTAGACCACTATGGAAGGCCTGTAAGCACAGGACGGCCGTTTCGTCCTAGTATGGGAATCCTCAGCAGTGGTTGAAGTTGGACATTAACGCCGTTGGATGTCGGCTGACTGGCCTAATAGTTAAGCGCTCGTGCGCGAGACTGATAGGTCCTGGGTTCGAATCTTGCGAGACAGGTTCGTGGATGCGCACTGCAGAGGAATTCTATACTAGGACGAGACGGCCGTCATGTGTTTCTAGGTTTTCCATGGTGGTCTAGCTTCAATTGACTCATGATTTCAACTATTGAAATTACTAAAATCTTTACAAAGCCCCTTCTGATTCTCTAATAAACAATAAAAATATAGGGTTTTCTTTATAATAAAAATTAATTATGAAAATATCACCACAATTGATTGACCACTGGGTGGTGACCAATATGTGTGTCAAGTCCTTATTAGTGCAGATAGGATGCTATCGACCATGTTGCAATGTGGCCGTCAGTCTAGGTGACTCGACACTGCGTGCACTATGTTGAGATTAGATGGTGGCTGGAGGTAGTCGACAGAAAACGCTGGACCCGGGTTTTGTGCTACTGGTGCTAAACTGGTGGCCACAGTGCAACATGGTCGATAGCATTCGACCTGCACTAATAAGGACTTGACACATATGACATTGATCACCACCCAGTGGTCAATCAATTGTGATTACATCTCAGTCCTACAGGAGGTCAGTCGTGGCTCAGATAGCTCCGTGGTAACGTCTCTGACTGTGAAGCTGTGCGAAACGAGATCGAATCCGTCAGGGAGCAACAGTTCATTCAAGATTACAGGCACACTTCTGACGAGTGCCAAGTAGCACGAAACCCGGGTCCAGGGTTTCCTGTTGACTACCTCCAACCACCATCTAATATGACAATATCAGTAATGTTGTTCACTTAATTTCGAGTAGCATTATTTTGGCATAAAAATTTCTCCATTTCAAATTCATTACACATTTATGCTAAAATTGTTGTTAGAAATGAACAATTATATGTTTACATTCGAACCGTTTGATGCCGCATTAATTGTTTAAGTTTTAAATGTTTACTGCAAGACTTGAAGTTCTTCTGATTGGCTAACTGCGGTGAGGAATCTCAAGTTTATTTAACCGGTCGCTCAGGTTTATCCGTATTGTTAAACCTAGTTATCATTGACATTCTCAATAATATACTCTAGAGTGATAACGAAATCCTAAGGAATAAAACGCCCAGCAGACGGGACACTGACAACGTAACTACAAATATTGCTATAATTTCAAAGCATTACTCAGAAATTTAATTATGATTACTTACAATACATATCAGTTAAAGGATGTAAGAACATGCGTACTGCAGGAAAAATTCGTTATATTATGAGACAATTCCTCGTAAAAATATGTTTTAAGCTTTATCAATCAAGAAGTATGTATGTGTGTATAATGCTTTTATGATATTTGAATTTTGTCAGAATAACTGTTAAGTCCATAAAAAATCTCATTCATAAGTATCCATCTCTCCTTAAGAGATTTCATATGATTAAGAATGGGTTTTTCAACTACCCTGTATAACTTCCGCATTTTCAGTGTGTACTCCCTCATTGATTCTATGGAAATTTCAAATGAAACAAATTAACGGTGTTCAAACTATTGTATTGTAATTATTTTAATCCAGTTGCAGTAGTTACTTGTATTTACGTTACTCTGTGTATTATAAATAGCTGTTTTTGTCCGAGTTAAAATTTTGAAGCAAACGGGAATGCATTGCTCCCGATTGATTTCTTTCTCCAACACACATTAGTTTACTGAGGGAGGCTAATACTCAAGATAAATGGAAGAATATTTATTGATTTAAATGTAATTTGTGTTCAGTTGACTTCCATATTAGCTAAGTGTGATATATATTCATCTGATTTATGAATCGATTCATTGTAATTTACACTTAACATCAAACTAATTTGCATTCATTAATACAATGTGATTTTATGTTCACTTGACTTTTGTTCGATATGGTATTCAATAATAACTTCATGTAAAAGTTAATTATTTGACATTTTCTTCAACTAATAATCAATGAATATGTTGGGGATGCTAGACCCCCAGAAATCACTTAGTAAACGTCTTATTTTTGTAATTTTATTTTGGGGAATTGGATTTCTCGTCGAAAGCGCCCATTTTTACTTTCAGGTTATATTTCCCACTTGAAAGGACCTTAAATGTCTTTGGTTGGTTGGCTCCTTTAATATGACATTTTGTGACGTTTCCCGAATACATCTTTATACTGTTTATATACACTTAAGTTGTGTGCTTGTTGTTCATGTTTCTGACTGCTTGCGGAATATACTTTCCCTCATCTAACCTTGGACTTCTCCCTCTACTTAACGGGACTGGGATGAACTGGAATAGTTTAACTGTCTTGTGTCTTATGTCGCTGATCCTTTGTTCCGTTCGCCGGTTTTTAAGTAATCTCGTAATTCAAAATATGTATTTGAATGACTAACAATCTTCTTAGGTAAGACTTCTAAACAAGCTTGAACGGTGAGACCCTAATTTGTGGACGGGCTAGTCAGAAGCGTTTTAGAGATTTCAAGGTCACGGCGCCGACTTCAGTGCTTAATGCTAACGTACGCTCAGTTCACAGGGAATTTTGTACAAAACGTGATAATTGAGCGGCTATAACAAATAAAACGGCGAGACTATAATTTGTGGACGAATCAATCAGGTATAAGATAATAGATCTCGGATTTTAATGCGGAAGCCTTTCATGCATTTGGCTAAATAAATTTC